TGACACAATGAACAGAGGAACCAATAGCATGAAGACAAGAGGGCAAGGGAAGCATGACACTAACAGCATGAAACAGTTACAAAATAAAAGACATGAAAACATGAACATGACAAAACCCAAAACAGACCTTACATTATATTGGATTACTCAAACTATTCTAATCAAAACAAAACACAACTTAACATTTTTTACAGTATGTTGAACATTATTTTAAACCAATGAAAACCCACGATCAGAATACTTACTCTGACATCTCGGCGGTTTAGTGTGTTCTCACCCTGGATTGGATAGAAATTATTCATTAGATATAATTTACAAGGCAGCTGAGTTAATCAGCTAATCCTGGACAAGCACTTGTACGCAGTTTTAAACTGAAGTGCGATAAGAAATACATTCGATCAGGGACACCTGAGTCTAAGTTTAGTCTTGAGACTTTTCAAGTACCAGTCCAACAGTCATTGATACCAGAGATCAGCTGCTGTATTCAATTAAAATTGAATTAAAGATTATAGTATTTTATAGTTACACTATTATCATCAAAGATTTGCATATATATACTGTATATATATATATATATACGCAGGTCCTGGAGTAGCGAGCATGACGTGAGCAGGCTTTGGCATAGCAGACATGACGTGTGCAGGCTTTGGCATAGCAGGCATGACGTTAGCAGGCTTTGGCATAGCAGACATGACGTGAGCAGGCTGTGGCTTGACAGACATGACGTTAGCAGGCTTTGGAGTAGCAGGCATGACGTGAGCAGGTTCAGACTTGGTAGGCATGACGACTGAAGACTTTGGAGAGGTGCTGTGTTCCTCCTCCACGACACCCACAGTGAAGGCAGAGCCACTCATTCGCAGAGCAAAGTCTATTTATAGTTACACTATTATCATCAAAGATTTGCATATATATACTGTATATATATATATATACACACACACACACTTTATGGTTGCAAGCATTACTTAGCAGATTTTAGCAATAAAACAGTCTAAGTCATGTGATTATCATACACGTGACATATCAATTAGAGCAAATTAAAATATATTTCAATTATATTAAATTGAAAATTTAAATTAAATATGAATGTTCAAGAAACAAAATATCATTTCCTTTCAGTTTATACATAAAAACCCATAGAAATTCTATAAAAAAAATTAAACTTAATTTAATACATAGTGATTTAAAACATTTAATTCATAACTTTTGCAATCACGCTTATTAACATATTCTATCTTCTCATGGATATTAATAAACTATATTGGACGCAAAAATCAAGCAATTAGAGCACGATATGTAGCAATTGTGTTTCTAACCAACAAGGAAGATCCAAACCCATGCACTGACTTTTGTCCTTTGTCCTTTACATACAGATCTAGAGAGAGTTCTGGATTGACGCTCACCAATGAGATAAGAAGAGGGCAGTACACTTGGAAGAAGAACTGGAAAGACTGGTGAGTACCAGAGAGAAAAATAATTAAATAGGATATATATGTTGTAGTCTGATGGCTCAGCAGATCCTGGGAGTCCTGTTTATGGAAGTGGATTCCTCTTCAGACCAATAGGCCACTGAGCTCCTGAAATATCCCGAGCTCATCCTCGGCAAGACTCGTAAATTTCCCTTCATTCAAGACGCATATGTGTGTGTGTGTGCTGTAAACGGAAGGAATGCTAACACACTATCGCTGAGGAAATACATCAACTTCGCGCTGTGGATCGCCGGATCGGCTTTCACCGTGGACAAAGCATAGTCCAGCCCGGGGTCGTCACATGTGGTTGCTGCAAGCCCGCTGGCAGCTCCTTCGTCGAATCTGCCTGCCGCGCCGTTCTCAAGCCCGCCGGCCGTTCCTCACTCAAGCCCTCAGTGTGTGACGCTGTGTGATGCATTTTATGGAGGACTGTTTCCTGAACCTGCAGAGTAGCCTACAATGGGTCGGTGATCAAAGGCTGTTCTATAAAGTGGGTCAGTTCCAACTTTGCAAGGGCAGTCTGGTGCTTCTGACTCACAGCCTGAAAGTACATTTTTTATAATTAAAAGAATTTGCCACTGATGATTCAAATGCGAGTTTTAAGCAGTTTAGAGTAGCGCTTGTTGTTTGTCGTTTCTCCGATTACAAATGCAGACAAGGTTTTATGTTTAGGCGGCGCGATACACAACGCGTAAAAACACAGTATAAGTCATTATAATCAGTAATTATGTCCCCACTGGATGCAACAAATGCCTCGTTTGTAATGGGTTTTATTGTTTTTGTCTCGCCGTGCCGGGAGACGGCATCACAGTGTGTTAAGGGGCGTAACATTTCCGTCACACGCTTGAGGTATTCGGCCAATCACAATGCATTGAATAGCTGGCCAATCAGAGCACACCTCGCTTTTCAGAACGATGAGCTTTGTAAAAATCGACGCGTTTCAGAAAGGTGGGGCATAGAGGAGCAACAATAATGTACATTATGTGGAAAATAATGTGTTTTTTTAACCTTAAACTGCATAAACACATTGCATTACACCAAATACACAAAATAATGTTCTTTTTAGCAGCATCATATGACCCCTTTAAATTAAATAATTTAATAGCAGCACTACAGTATTTTATTCCTTAAAGTCATAACAAACCACTAGTCAAAGACTGGAAAAGAGTGAAAGGACCAAACCGTGCGTAATAAAACAAACATGAAAAAGGATTTTCCTCAAAAGCTTTCGTTTAATGGTAGTGGCTCTGCGATTATACATAATTCCCTTTCAGGACATACATACTGCATGAAACAAATGCTCATTTGAGGCACTGAAAGCAGAAAAGACATAACTATGGCAAAAAGTTAAATGACCGCACTGCTCTGACAAATCCCTACGATAACTAAACAAAGAAACGTCCGGGAATTTAGGCCTCGCTCTCGAACATCTTCTTCCTGCCATCCATTCCGGCCTTGTCCTCGACATTCTTACGCCAGTCACCCACATCTGCAACCTGGATTATGAGAGAGGGATTGGGTGTGAAGGAATGGTAATCAAATGAAACATACTTACACATTCACAGCATGTTATTTTGACATCTATTTGTTGCTATTCTAAAAAGTAATATATTC